ACTACTACTACGACTACTACTACTACTACTACTACTACTACTACTACTACTACGACTACTACTACGACTACTACTACTACTACTACTACTACCACTACTACCACTACCACTACCCCTACCACTACCACTACCACTACTACAACCATTACTACCACTACCACTACTGCTACTACTCCTACTCCTACTACTCCTACTAGTACTACTACTACGACTACTACGACTACGACTACTACTACTACTACTACTACTACTACTACTACTACTACTACTACTACTACTACGCTTTACTTGTTATAGTGTTAGCATTACGAGTGTCACTACATTTACGACTCGCATTAGTATTCGATGTAGTAGCACCACCATTATTACGAATGGCATTCCCATTAGTAGGTTTCATTGTATCATTCATATTAGCATGATAAGTGTTAGTAGTATGATCGTTACGACTATAAGAAAGTATTACTAACACTTCCTCAATTACTATTACTCGTTTGTGCCTTCTTCTAGCACGGAGGAGGGGCATCGACAAGGGGGTACTGGCTCAGCGGAGGAACCAAGCTCCACCGTTGTACCAGGTTGTTCGGTTTTTCCGTTGTACCAGGCTCTTGCGTTGTGTGCGCGCGCGGCGAGAACTGTTGCGACGAGAGGAAGAGGTAGCGACCCCAGGCAGCGCCAAGAGAACATGTGCAAGAATCGCGCCCCGCGGGGGTGCTGACGACGCTTGCCGCGGGATGAGCACTGGCGCCAGGCATGAAAGACCAGGGCTGCGCGCTGGGCGCGCCCGGGCATGCCGAGCGAGGAGGGGGAGGAGGAGGAGGAGGAGGAAGAAGAGGAGGAGGAGGAGGAGCAGGAGGAGGAGGAGGAGGAGGAGGAGCATGGAGGAGGAGGAGGAGAAGGAAGAGAAGCAGGAGCAGGAAGAGGGGGCGCCTGGTGAACGGAGCCTCGCCCGGGCAGGGGCGCGGGGGAGAGGGGGGCCCCGCCGCCGACCCGAGGAAACCGCGCGGCCCTCCGAGAGGCTGTGGTCACGTGGCTGTGGTTCCTCTGCGAGCGGTTGCTCCTCTGCCGTGCTCCCCCTGAGATCCTGGCGTTGCGTTTTTTTCGCAACGGGCGCTTTCGCCCCGTTTCGGGCCCCGGGACCCTCTCAGATCGACCTGGCTCGAACAGACGCATTGGGTCTAGGGCTCCGGGCGTGATCTTTTTACCATGTTGCAATTTGGCATTTTTGTTTCGAAGCGTCGGATCTCAGGGTCTGTAGCTGTTGTTCCTCGCCACGCGTGCAGTGAGCCATTTGCTGGCAGGCCAATTGCCTAGCTGACGTGTTTACTGTGCGCCGTCCAGCGGCAGCGCCTGATCCAGACGTGGTCGACTCCGAAGCCAGGGCACACCAGTGCTTACCCCACGCGGGGAGCCGCGTCTACTTCCGCCGGCTTCCTCCGGCGGAGCCGCCCTCGCTACACTTAAGCTAGACTCTGGCGGCCTTCCGCCAGCTTTCCGCCAGCTCTCGATTCCTCGAAGTCGACGCCCTGTGGAACGGGAGGCCGCGGAGGAGGAGCCGAGGCCCCGCTTGGAACGCCCTTCGTCGACGGCCGAAGCTCCGGGATGGGCCTGCCGGGCACAGCGGGCTGCTAATCTCGCCGCGAGCTGCAGGTCTGCGGTCGCGCCCTGCCCCACCTCATGATGATGATGAGGAGGAGGAGGAGGAGGATGGTCATGATGATGATGATGATGATGATGATGATGATGATGATGATGATGATGATGATGATGATGATGGTGATGGTGATGATGATGATGATGGTGGTGGTGGTGGTGATGGCGGTGGTGATGCTGATGATGGTGTGAAGATGATGGCGACAGAATTGACGATGGTGTGATGAGAACGATGATGGCGGTGGTCATGGCAATGATGATAGTGATGATGATGATGATGATGATGATGGTGATGATGATGGTGATGGTGACGGTGATGACGGTGATGATGATGTTGCTGGTATTAGTGCTGATGGAAAATGATGAGGAGAAGGATGAAGAAGACTATGATGATGAAGATGACGATGACGATGACAACTAGAACCATGATGATTATGATAACGGCGATGTGATGATGATGATAATGAAGATGATGACGATACTGGTGCTGATGATGATGAGGATGATGCTGATGATGATGCAATGAAGATTATGGCAACGGTGGTTATGATGATGGTGATGATGGTGATGATGGTGATGATGAGAATGGTGATGGTGATGACGATGATGACATTGATGGAGATGATGATGGTGATCCCGATGATGGTAATGGTGATGGTGATGATGATGATGACCATGATGACGATGATGACAATGAGAATGATGGTGATGTCAACGACGACGACGATTATGATGATGATGATGATAGTGGTGATGATGATAATGATGATGATGATGATGACAATGGTGGTGGTGGTGATGTGATGTGACACCTGGTGATGATCATGATTATGACGATGACGATGACGATGATGATGATGCTGATGATGATGATGGTGGTGATGGTGATGATGGTGATGATGATGATGATGATGATGATGATGATGATGATGGTGATCATGATGGTGGTGATAATGCTGATAATGATGACGGTGCCGCAAGTCATCGGCGACGACGAGCTTCAGCAACGGCAGCAGCTTCGCTCGAGCGTCGGCGGAGGGAGGGGGAGGGCGAAGAGGGTACGGATCTCTGCGCGGAAGCTCTGCCGAAACTGAAAACGGCGGGCCATCGCGCGCGCGCCCAACGGCCAGGCGTGCGCGAGGGCGTCGCGAGCGCGGGAGCGAGCGGACCTCAGCTCACCCATCGCGCCGCCGAGCTGCCGCCGCGAGCGCTCTCAGCGGCGGGGGCCAGTCGGCATGCCGGCGCCCGCGGCCTCGGCCCTCGCTCTCACGCCTCGCCGCGGGGGGGTGTCCCCGTCGTCGGCGCTGGAGGGGGTGATCTCCCCCTCCGAGCGGTGGTGAGGGCGATCTCCCCCCCCCGCACGCTCATCCTGCACCGTCGGTGCCTGGGGCCACGGGCCCCCACTCCTCCAGCGGGATGGGCGCGCCGCACACGCCCCCGGAGGTGGGATCGAGGCCGTGCGTCAGCCTGCCCAGGCGGGTAGCCGCCCTCGTGTTCCGGGGCCCCCTGCCGCACTCGTCCAGCAACCGCGGCATGCGTCATGATGATGATACTGAAGATGGTGAAAATGATGATGATGATGATGATGATGATGATGATGATGATGATGATGATGATGATGATGATGATGATGATGATGATGCTGAGGATGACGATGGTGATGATGGTGGTAGTGACGATGATGATGATGCTGTAACGATGATTGTGTTGATGATGATGATGATGATGATGATGATGATGATGATGATGATGATCAGCGTCATGATGATGATCATCATCATGACGATAATGATGATGATGATGATGATGGTGATGGTGATGATGGTGATGATGGTGATGATGATGTTGATGCTGATGATTGTGTTGATGACGATACCGATGATGATGACGATAATGATAATGTTAATGATGATGATGATGATGATGATGGTGATGATGATGGTGCTGGTGATGATGATGAGGAGTATGCTGCTGATGAGAATGATGATGATGATGATGATGATGATGCTAGTAATGGTGCGGATGATGCCCTGATTATGGTGGTGATGGTGGTGACGATGATGAGCCCGATGATGATAATGATGATGATGTGGAGGGGGATGGTGATGTTGATGATGATGGTGGTGATGGTGATGATGGTGGTGATGAAGATCCACATCATCATCACCATCGTTATCATGATTAGCATCATCGTCCTCAGCATCACCATCATCACCATCATCAGCAGCATCAGTATCATCATCATCAGCATCCTTATCATCACCAATCCCCTTCACCACTCCCCTTCATCCTTCTCGTCCTTCCTTCCTTGTCCGCCTCCTCCTTCTCCGCCTCCTCCTCCCCATCATCACCATCATCAGCAGCAGCGGCATCATCATCCTGCCCTCCCCACCCTACTGCAATAGTCCTCCTGACCGCGTCCCTCTCCTCCTATTCCTGGGCCTCCTCCTCGACCTCATCCTCCTCCTCCTCCTCTTCATCCTCCTCCTGCTCCGCATTATCTCCTCCTCCTCCTCCTCCTGCGCCTCATCATCCTCATCCTCATCATCCTCCTCCGCATCACCATCATCATCATTAACATCATCATCTTCATCATCATCACCACTACCAACATCATCACCATCATCAACCTCATCATCAGCAGCATCGTCAGAATCATCATCTTCTTCATCATCACCATCAGCAGCAGCATCAGCAGCAGCATCGCCAATAACAAACACAACGGCAGCAACAGCAACATTATCACCACCAGCATCATCAACATCAGCATCAGCATCATCATCAGCATCATCGCCATCATCATCAGCATCATCGAAACCACCATCAGCAGCAGCAGCTTCGGCAGCATCAGCATCGTCATCATGGTCGTCAGCAGCAGCAGCAGCAGCAGGCACATCGTCATCGTCACCACCGTCATCATCAGCAGCAACAGCATCAACATCAGCCCCGTCATCATCATGATCCTCAGCATCAGCCTTAACAAGATTATCAGCATCATCATCCTCAACCCCCTTCATCCGCATCCTCCTCAACATCAGCCTCGTGACCACCAGCATATATCATCACCAGCAGTAGCAACATCATCATCAGCATCAGCATCAGCATCGCCATCATCGTCG